TTCTGCAATATCAAAAGCATGTCTGAATGAAAATGTGTCAATCCAGAAGATCCACAGATATTTTGATCCAGATAGAAAGCTATGCAACATAATTATGGAACCTTGAGATCGTCAGCGAAGATGTGTAGGCAAAATTTGAACAGCATAGATTCTGTGGTCTGTGACTGTTATCCGAAGTGTATTGGCAAGAGAAAGTTTGGGATTTGCAGAGAATATTATGACTGAAGTGCTTAAAATATTCACAGACTATTATATTTAATTTAATAATTGATGACGAATAAATGATTTTAATTTGTGTTTTAACAATTGATGGTAAAAAAGAATTTAAATTTCCATCACAGTTGATGGTGAAAATAAATGAACGTCAGTGTTAAATCTGTGTGTTATTATTTTAATCATTACCTGCCTTCATAATAATAAAAATATTTACCGACAAAATAGCTTAGGGATCTATTTTACCGAGACCGGTAAAATAAGCTTAAAAGCATGATTTCTATTTTACCAGGACCGGCAAAAAAATCTCATACTTTTAAAAAGTGTCAGATTATAACAATAACAGAATAAAGGGTTCGTTTAATTTGGCAAAAGATATTAAAAAAATGATGTCAGATTACGAGAATAATGTGTTCTTTTAACAATGCAAAAGGAATAAAAAAGATATCAGATTACGACATTAACAGAATAATGTGTTCGTTTAACCATGCAAAAAGAATAAAAAGTTATCAGATTACGAGAACAACAGAATAATTCTTTCATTAATAATTCGTTAGAGTGTGAAAATTATTATTCTAAAATAACAACCGCACTAATTCTGATTCTCTGGTACAAAATATGACAATTAAGTTCATAAAAAAAACTCAAATAGAACGAATGTTTCATTTGTAGAAAACGAGATGCGAAATATCCACTCAAAAGTTTCCCATTAAAAATTTAGAGGAGGTTGAAGTGGCCAAAGGCGTTTTGCACGTCCAATTTTGTAAGCCTTCTCGTATCTTCCGTTCTTATTTGGATCACCCGCTATAAAATAGGATGATTAGATATGGAAATGACCCCAAAAAATGCCATTGTTTCATTTTTAGAAAATCAGCGGGAAAATCTTCTGCCTAAGTCAGTCATGAATCGCAAGAGACATGATCACCCAAGCGTGTATCACAGATGGCACTTTACTGGCTGACTCGTGTAAAGCATGCACTCGGGAGCCGGTGATTATCAAATATTTACAATAATTTTAATTTTTTAGACAGTTATCTGTACTTAATTTTTACTTACAAATATCAAGTTTGAAATTGTCCTACAGACGATGTCCTTTTCCCCAGTTCGTTTTACTTAACATTCATTGGTGACCGAAGCACAGTTTTAAATTTGATATTTTTAAATAAAAAACAAAGTACAGATAATTCTATAAGTAGTCAGCGATCGTTTTGACACTGTATATATTAAGAGATCACCTCCACTTCTGAAATGATTTATAAAAAGTCAATATTTTTCGATTCTGATAAATGTTGTGCGTAGACGAGAGTCCACAAAAAAAAAAAAAAAAAAAAAAACTGTTCCAAAAGGGGTTTTCTTTATTTTTGACGAGTGGACCAGATGACTTTAAAAGTTCCTTCATGGCAATTCACCGATACTAAAAGAAAAGGAAAGCCGTGGAAAGCTTACATTCTGAAGGAACATGGGATTTAAAAAGAAAAGTTATTATATAATGAATATGAATTCTGAGCAAAATCTCCTCAAAGAAAAGAAAGAGGCCGTAGACAATTCCAGGAACTGAACATGTGAGCAATGAGGAAGTTTTAGTGAAATGGAACCAAGAAGGACATTTATACTTTAACATCAAAAAGAGACAGCTGAAATTTTTAGGGCATATAACGGGAACAAAAGGCTTGGAAAATGTGACATTCACATGACACATCGAAAGCAAGAGGGGTTCGAAAACAGAGCTTGCTACCTAAATAGCTTGTGTAAATGGTGGGTAGAATTGGAATTAGGAGAGATAGCAAAAAGACAAACATTGGTAATAGCTACAAAGGAGAGAATGTTGTAGAGAGACGTGATTACCCATATTCTAAAGAGATACGGGATATAGAAGAAGAATATGTAATTAGTAGCTGAATTTCGATTTGACATTTTCACTATATAATGCAAACACTATGTGATTAATATTTACAGTTAAATTAAGTGAGTTGACAAGGAAGTCGGTTATGTTGGAAAATATTTGTTATAAAATCTTTTCTTATTAATTTTTGTCATACTTATATTGCAGTTAATCCTTCAGTTAATCCTATCGTAATATAGATTACAAGAAGATTGCATCAATGTGACCCTCTAACTCGTGCAGGTCCAGTGCCTTTACTTGCTGTAAATACACACACACACACACACACACACACACACATATATATATATATATATATATATATATATATATATATATATTGGTAGCATGAACATTTCTTGATTAATTCAATAATAGGGTAAATAATGAATTTTGCATTGTTGTTGGTTCAAATATTTTTATAATCTTGTAAACCTAAAATTCTTCCTCTAAATAAACAAATAAATAATGTTTAACATTTTTGCTGACAGTTCTCCAGTTTCATACGATTAGGTTTTATTAAAATTCTATAACAATAAAAATTACCGAGGGATTATACAGTAATAGCGAAAAACCGCCATTCTTTCTAACACCCCTTTTTCAGCACGATTGTTAAACTTTGACCTAAATCCTTTATTAGCAGACCTCTCTCTGGGTTGCGGTCAATTTTATTTTAGAGCGAGGTAGGACTAGAATCATATGCAGATATACTTAGTCCTTACAATTTCGCCTCAAGGTTGTTTCACGTCATTGCTCTAAAAAGGTAGAGTTGTGGATTACCTTTATGCCTTTACTGGAGGATCCTTTACTCACACAGATGTGAAACTCCGTATTCAATACTTTTCACTCGCGGGTAGTCAATAATTGCTAACTGTACTGGCCTGGGTTTAAAAGCACGGATATCAAACTGTAAGATATAGATTTATACAAAGAGAAAGCAAGTTTTCTTTTCGTTCAAGTTAGACAGGATTGAGAGATTGAGTTTAGGAAAGGTAACTTCACATACTCCACATCTTCGTTCTCATCATTTGCCACTGAAAAGACAAGGGACGTGTCCATTTGAAGGCCAGCGTAGATTACATCGCACTTAATCGATTTAAGCGCATATCTGAGCAGACAACAAGCGAAGAAAGTTTCCCATCTCCATTTGTCTTTTTTTTACTTTTTTTTTTTAAATATGGATCCACCGACAAATATCAAGTTTCTTTTGGTTGACATTACAAGTTTTTCTCACAAAAATTACTTTGAAAAGGTTTTTTAGGGTGAGACGAACCACTTTTGTGAAGGTGAAATCATGAATATTTCAAACACAATCCAAAACCGAGAAACAACGGATTGACAAGAATGACAGCTACGGTCTCGTAACAGCTAATAGTCAGAATCAGAAGTTCATGTATATATTCTTTTTCTGTGTGCTGTATCTCTTTAGTACGTGGGCAATCATGGTTCCCAACAACTTCCTATTCTTCTGTTATATACGACATAAATGAATGGAATCTTCCATTTGAATAGAAGCTCCGTTTATTTATTAAACAGTATATTTATTTATCTATGTTTAATGACACTATTTAACATTGCTTGACAATCAACACACTCCGGGATCGAGAGGTCTAAAGCACGTCAGGTCTAATGACGGTATTCAGGCTGGTAGGTGAAAATAGGTAAATATACTGTTTAATGAATAAATAGGACGTCTATTCAAATGCGAGTATCCACTAAAAATAATGTTTAAAAACCATCACTTTCTCTAGAAATTGTTTGGTTTACGTTAGGATACGAAAGTGTCTACTTCACTCGTCAGAAAAAAAAATCTGTGTTTCAAGGCACAATTCAACATTGCTTGAACATCGAGGCAATCTGTGACCGAGACGCCAAAAGCACGTCTGGTCTATTGATGATTTTTCTTTGGGAAATGCAGATTCGAATATTCAGGCCTGCAGACGAAAACGGAATAAATGGAAAATCCTTTCCTTTCTTTAGAAATTGCTTTGCTTAAGTTAGGATAAGAAACTCGGCAGATATGTCTATTTCGAGAGACAGAGAAAAATCTATGTTTAAAGGTTCTATTCGACATTGCAACGCATTCCGTGACTGGGACCTTTAAGCTAACAACGATTTGCTCTTCGGGAATATGGGTTCAAATCCTACCGGAGAACGCACATTTAATAATATTTCTCGAATATTCAGGCCAGTAGACGAAAATAAATAAATATTCTGTTTAATAAATTAACGGAGGGACTATTCAGAATAGGAATATCCGCTAAAAGTCTGACGATTGCGTCTAGCATGAAACAGACTGTCGCCTCTAAGTGTTGACTCTTATGTTGACTTTTATATTTACACACACTCTATCTCTGATATTGAGCACTTTATCCCATAAATATAGCACATCTTAAGACTATATTTATTTCTTCATATATATATATATATATATATATATATATATATTTCTTTTTACTTTGCTTTTTTATTAGGCATGTACGTATTTATATATACTGTAAATGAAAGAGAGTGTTTGAGCGAGTGCGTGCGTGCGTGGCAAAAACTGGTGATTTTTTTTAGATTACGCTAATGACTAGAATTAACACTCTTGTCGGCAATCACTGAAGACAACAAAGGTACTTCTTTTTCTCCTATGTCGCAAAGAAATCCTGAGAAAACATTATGGCCTGCTTTTCCCGCCTTTTAAAGATCAGTGCAGAACAAAAATGGCCGTCAGTATTGAATTTTCCAGTTAGTGTGAAAGTGTATAGCACGTTCCCACTGGCTTTTCGTTTCGTGATGTCGGCTGACTGATCGCTTTTCTTTTTCTTTTCCTTTGACGGCTTCTTTATTGACCAAGGTTGCTGAGTGGGATGGAATGAGACGACAAAAGGTGGAAAGACGCAATGTTCCCATCACATAATTAAATGTAATCGAGTCGACTGGGGGAAATTAAGAATGGCAAGGAAGGAAGGAAGGAAGGAAGGAACGAACGAACGAACGAACGAACTGTGACTAGGAAAATAAAAAGGAATGAACTAAAAATACGGGAATGAAAGTAGGAATAAAAATCAGAAGAAAAATGAATGAAAGAAAAATAAAGAAAGGCAGGATTATCAAACGTTAAAGAAAAATGAAGGAAAAAGTTTCAGAAAAACTGAAATACTGACAAAAATAAGAGATAATAAAAATAAAAACAAACCAGTTAGAGAAATTAGAAATAGAAGGAAAGGGAATAAAGAAAGCAAAGACAAAAAGAAAGAAAGAAAGAAAGAAAGAAAGAAAGAAAGAAAGAAAGAAAATGAACGAAAAATGAAAAAGCGATAAATAACAAACAAACAAATAAACCCTAAAATAAAACGTAATAGATAGATAGATAGATAGATAGATAGATAGATAGGGAGGTACTGAGAATAGAAAAAAGAAATAAGTGAAAAAAAGAAAGAAAGAGAGAGAGAGAGAGAAAAACGAAATTAACAGAGGAGGAATAGGCGGTAAATAACAAACACAAAAAGAACATATAAAGTGATAGATAGATAGATAGATAGATAGATAGATAGATAGATAGATAGATAAAGAAAGAAAGAAAGAAAGACAAACTGAACAAGGAGGAAATAAGGAAAAGGCGATAAATAAGAAATTAACTAAAAATGAACGGATCAACCTGAAAAGAGAATCGACGAAAAGAGAATTTCAAAGAAAGAAGAAAAAAGGAAAAGTCGAAATAATTTCGAGAAAAAGTAAATGTGGAGAATTTTTTCGCAAATACGCAAGGATTTTAAAGCACAAATGAAAACAGCATTAATTTATGTTTTTAATGGGAAAGTAAATTAGGTAAATAAAAAAGAAAACGATAAAAAAAATAAAAGAAAACTTTTATGTCCAGAAACATTGGTATTATGATCTTAGTGAAACTAAAATGTTGTGTCGTCTCGTCAATGACAGAAGAATATATATATACAGTGTAACCCGGATATAAGAGACCCGGATATAAGAGAAACCCAGATATAAGAGAGATTTTCTCTAGTCCCAAAGTGTTCCCATACTTACCTAAACAAAATAGACCAAACTCGGATATAAGAGAAACCCGGATATAAGAGACTTCTTCTCCGGTCTCGACAACTCTCTTATATCCGGGTTACACTGTATATATATATATATATATATATATTTCTGTTTGTACGTTAGTTTTATAGATACAAATATTTAAATAAACAGTATTAATAACATTCACCGGCCCGGATGTTCGAGGAACTTCATAGACAATATGGTTCCTCCGACAGTAATCGAAACTTACACGGAACCGGCATATTGCCTGACTCGCTACGTCGTTTATCGACAGCGGAATCGACCGGTTAGCGAGGTCAAATTGTATATATATATATATATATATATACCTTATACATACATATATAAAGGTAAATACATACACATATATATTTATATTATATATAATATATATATATATATATATATATATATATATATATATATATATATATTAAGAAATGGACAAAGTCCGACAATTTATTTATTAAAGGACGAATATTTTTCTATGAAAATTTCTCGGACATTCAGGCCGGTAAATGTTATTTAATACTGTTTATTATAAACAGAGCATTTACTAAAATACTTGTATCTATAAAAAAAACGTTAAACATAAAAAATGTCTTTAATATATATATATATATATATATATATATATATATATATATATATATATATATATATATAGTACAGTGTATGTGTGTTTGCGTATGTATGTGTCCAAGCAACTCCTACGCTCCCACTGGTCCGAGTTCAATGATTCATAGCTCATTCAAAAGCCCTAGAAAAGTTATGCGCTGTGAACGATTTTCGTTGTCTTCAGATTCAGGCTTGTCAGATAATACGAGGTTAAAAATATATATTAATATATTATACTAGTCATTATCATTGCTTTCATGATTCAAGAGGAGTAACTCTTATTTTCGTTTTGTATCTAAAATTGCAGTGAACGTTTTATTATAAATAGCTTAAAAGCCACCCTGTCGGGCGGCATTTAAGCTAGCTCCTGGGCGCACACTTGCTTTGGCCATCATCACAGTAGCTAGGGTGGAGTAGATGTGATAGGCATGAATAAACTATAGAATAACTCAAAATTGATCTCTGAATAAGTATTGAATTAATTTTTAAGATTACCTTTTAAAAGTTCAATGATAATTCTTCAGCTGCCATTTAATTTAAAGACGATTTGATGAACGTAGATGCTTATTTTTTGTAAAATGATTTTTTATTTCATGGGTGACAGAACAGGGGACAATTTATGAGATAAAATTAATGAAGTGGAAAATAGAAATTTGAATAAGTTATCCATTCATCATTTGAAGGGTTAGAGAAACATAATTGGGAAAAACCTATATGATGAACTCTATATAAATAAATGCGAAATTGGAGCTTAATACACTCACGAATTCTGAGAAAGTATAGTTTTCCTCAGTTCCTTTGACGGGGTCGCCCCTAAGCGCAGTCTGACCAAAGACAGAGACGCAACTGAGAGATGAAAAGCCTGCGTTAAAATCCCTCCAAAGAGTAATTTACGCGCGGTGTTTACTTGTTCCCCCACCAGAAAGAGATATGGCACAAGGTCGTTTTAAAATGGCTGGCACCGATCCCTCCCGCTTGTGCCGCTGGTCTAAGCTGGTCTTAGCTGGTCATAGCTTGTCCAAGGTGGTCAGAGCTGGTTTAAGCTTGTCATAGATGGTCTTGGCTTGTCATATCTGGTCCAAACTTGTCAGAGCCGGTCCAAACTAGTCATAGCCGTGACACCACCAGCACAAGAACGGAGCCCTGTGACTGTACGTATCCGAGCACTTAAACCCCTCCAAGGAGGAAGTTACGCGGTATTTACTTGACCCCCAACTGAGTCAGGTTGTGACACAAGGTCAGTTTTTAACGTAGGGACCCAAGTGTTTTCACTCAGGCCGCTGGTCTAAGCTGGTCTAACCTAGTCATAGCTGGTCTTGGTTTGTCATAGCTGGTCCAAACTGGTCAGAGCCGGTCCAATCTAGTCATAGCCGTGATACCACCAGCACAGAGACTGAGGCCTGTGACCGGTATGTATCCGAGTGCGTACACCCCTCCAAGGAGGAATTTACGCTGTATTTACTTGACCCCCACTGAATCAGGTTGTGACACAAGGTCAGTTTTTAACGTGGGGACCCGAGCCTTTTCACTCGGGACGCTGATCTAAGCTGGTCTTAGCTGGTCATAGCTTATGCAAGCTGGTCTAAGCTATTCATAGCTGGTCTTGGCTTGTCATAGCTGGTCCAGGCCGGAGCCGGTCCAAGCTAGTCGTAGCCGTGATACCACCAGCACAGGGACAGAGTCCTGTGACCGGTAAGTAGATATTTACTTGACCCCCCTACCCACTGAATGAGGTTGTGACACAAGGTCAGTTTTTAACGTGGAGACCCGAGTGTTTTCACTCGGGCCGCTGGTCTTAGCTTGTCCAAGCTGGTGAGAGCTGGTCTAAGTTAGTCATAGTTGGTCTTGGCTTGTCATAGCTGGTCTAGGCCGGAGCCGGTCCAAGCTAGTCTTAGCCGTGATACCATCAGCACAGGGACAGAGCCCTGTGACCGGTAAATATCCGAGTGCGTACACCCTCATGCGGTGTTTACTCATTCCCCCACGAGAATGAGATGTGGCACAAGGTCGGATTAATGTGGGGACCCGAGCGCGTGAACCCGACAGGGTCAAAAAAAGCACCGATCCCTCCCTCTTGTGCAATGGGAGGGCGCAGCCTCGGCCAGCTGTTCCTCAGGGCTGGGCACCTCTCAGTATAATTTTCCTCAGTTGCTCCTCTGTCCTTTGACAGAGAAGCCCCTGAGCGCACTCTGTCCAAGGACAGAGACGCAACTGAGAGATGATAAATAATGGGAAATCCCTCCAAGGAGGAATTTACGCTGTATTTACTTGACCCCCATTGAATCAGGTTGTGACACAAGGTCAGTTTTTAACGTGGTGACCCGAGTATTTTCACTCGGGCCGCTGGTCCAAGCTGATTTTATCTGGTCATAGCTTGTCCAAGTTGGTCTTGGCTTGTCATAGCTGGTCCAGACCCGAGCTGTGCCAGTTAAGTGTATTTACTTGACCCCCAAATGAGTCAGGTTGTGACACAAGATCAGTTTTTAACGTGGGGACCCGAGTGTTTTCACTCGGTCCGCTGGTCCAAGCTGGTCTTAGCTGGTCTAAGTTAGTCATAGCTGGAATTGGCTTGTCCTAGCTAGTCCAGGCCGGAACCGGTCTTAGATAGTCCTAGCCGTGATACCACCAGCCTAGGGACGAGCCCTGTGCCAGGTAAGTAGATATTTATTTAACAAGCCAATTTTCAAAGATTTCGTTTGGAAGGGAGACATTCCCGACCCCTTGTATGTGGAGTCTACGAGGAATTTTGGCTTTAGCCTTCGGACTCGGAATTGACCGACATAAAAATCGGCCTTGTGCCACATCCTACCTTGTGGGGAGGTTGGTAAATACCAGTCCGTTAGAGTCAAGCAGTCCGTTGTCTCGCTCACGATTTAAGACAAGAGAAGACCACTGTCTTCGGGCAGAGGATGATAAGCCCTCCGTCTTCAGGCGGAGGATGACTTAGTCGGACTTTGTCTTCGGCTGAGAAAAACAGACTTGTTCTGTACCCTAGCCCGCTGTGGCTGGCCTGGGTAAATTTTGATCAGTGGCCCGAGTGAAAACGCCCGGGTACCTACAGTAAACTTGACCTTGTGTCACATCTAGTCACTAATGGGGCTACCGGTAAATACCAGTCCGTTGGGGTCTAGCAGTTCGTTGCCAGGATCTGTTTAGAGCAGAGAGGAACCCAGGCGAGGCTATACCAACCGGCAGAGTCTCGTTTGGGGACAATCCCGACCCCGTATATGCGAGGTCTACGGGGAATTTGGGCTTTAGCTTCGGACTCGGAATTGACCGACATAAAAATCGGCCTTGTGCCACATCCTACCTTGTGGGGAGGTTGGTAAATACCAGTCCGTTAGAGTCAAGCAGTCCGTTGTCTCGCTCACGATTTAAGACAAGAGAAGACCACTGTCTTCGGGCAGAGGATGACAAGCCCTCCGTCTTCGGAAAAAAACAGACCAGTTCTGTACCCGAGCCCGCGTTTGCGTGGTCTGCGTAAATTTTGACCAGTGGCTCGTGTGGAAACGCTAGAGTTGCCCACTGTAAACTTGACCTTGTGTCGCATCTAGTGCGCAGTGTGGCGACCGGTAAATACCAGCCCGTTGGAGTCAGCCAAGAGAATTTCTAACAGATGTCACGGTGACTAGCCTAAGCAGGCAGCGACTCGGAGATGCTAATTTTAAATCCAGTAAACGTTAACTAATTCAGTACGAAAAGAAAAAAAAAAGCTCTATCCGTTATTTGATAAATTTATTTATGACCTCTTTTGAGAAATTCCAACGTACTTTCCTTACACACAAGGTTTCTCTGTGATTCCACCCTGAGGAAGTCTGCCATAAGGAGTCGAAACGCGTTATCTGAACAGGCTCTACCACTTTGCCTCAGGATCTCCACGGTATTTAGTGCAAACACATGAACATTTTCGCGAAGTATAGGATGAAAATAATCTTCCATTCGGAGAAAAGAAACACATTCTCGCAGCGAATGGTTATTTCTCTGTAGCGTCGTGATAAAGTAGTGGACATTATTACTTACCGGACGGCAGTGGAGGTCACATTCTTTTTAAGTGAAAAGGACAAGATGACTCTGCACATGACGACGACAACGAAGATGACCCAGACGGGAAAAACAAGTCATATAATTTTTAAAAATACATTAAGGAAAGCAAGAAGAAAGGACTAATCATCAACTGTATGAAGACAATGTAAGATTGTTAACAAGAAAGAACCGCTTGTTATGCGTGCCTCAAATTGGAGACGCGAGATTTAAACAAGTAGGAAAGTGTAATTATCTGACAGGTGCTATAACATAGGGCAGAAAATATGATACCGGAATAGAAAGTCGCATTGGGGCAGCGGAAGATGCCTTCCAAAAGCAAAGCAAAAAATTAAGAAACAGAAATATTTCGTTAGAAACAAAGAAAAGAGTACTGAACAGTTACGTAATATCGATCCTCCTATATGGCAGAGAATGCTGAATAGTCTCCTCACAGATAAATGTGATTCTACAGAAGGATGCTGAGAATGCCATGGACTGAACGGTTTGGCGGAGAACAGAGACAAATGAACACTGAAATTTAGAATCAGAAAACGACAGTTGAAAATTCTACGGCAGATAACAAAAGAAAAGGCTTAGAAAATTTAACACTCACGGGATATTTTGAAGGCAAGAGGGACAGAGGAAAGCAGCGAATAATCTAAATAATAAGCTTGAGTAAATGGTTGACTGAATAGAAATTAAAATTGATAGCATAAAGACAAACTTTACCAAGGGCTACAAAGGACGGTAAATTGTATACAGTCATGATTGCTCACGTCCTGAAGGAACACGGCACATATAATAATAATAATAATAATAATAATAATAATAATAATAATAAGCAAAAGTAGCACTCAAGAAAAGGAGAATTTCAAAAACACCCTCAATAGATTTAGACTTTGTCACAAAGATTAGGAAACTGGAACAAGATGAAGCCTATAAGTAGCTAGGAATTAGCGAAGGAGATGGTAGACAACATAGACAGATAAAGGAGAAGGTAAGAAAGGAGTACTACAGGCGTGTGAGTCTGGTAATAAATACCGAGTTGAATTCAAAAAACAGGATATCAGCCATAAATACCTTGACTGTCCCTGTGGTGCAATACACCTTTAACATCCTTAATTAGACCATAGCTGACATTAAGCGAATGGCTGCCAAAACGAGAAAGCTTCTCACTTGCTACTGCATGCATCATCCCAAATCTGATGTTGGTCGTCTGTATGTGACCAGATCCGAAGGAGGCAGAGGATTAGTTTAACTACAACTGTCCTACAAAAATATAACAATTGGCCTTCAAAGATACCTGGAAACTACAGAAGACTGGATGATGATATGTGTCAAAGAACATGAAAGTAGTAAGAGTCTTTATTCCGTAATAAAGGAAGCCAACAACTTTAAAATGAAGTTTCAAATGGGCGCAGAAATACAAGTAAATCACTATACACGGAATGAAGCTGCATAATACATAAAAAAAAAGCAAAGACAAATGCAACCGACCAGATACAAAAACAATGGCAAGATAAACAGCTTCTCTACCCGTACCAAAGAAGCTGATGTAGACAAACCCCCTACCCATCAGTGGCTACGTAGTGCAGGGTTAAAAGCTGAAACGGGAAGTTTTATCCTTGCTGCACTCGATCAGTGCTTGTTACCTAGAAATTATCAAGCACACATACTAAAATATTGTTAGAACAAAATGCAGATTCTATGTTAAATATTCAGAAACAATTGACCATTCTTGTATCAGGTTGCACAGTATTGGCACCCACTGAATATAAAACCCGGTATGACAGATTTGGCCAATATCTGCACTGGAAAATCGGCAACTTCTACGCGAAGGAAACTGAAAGAAAATGGTCTGAACTCCACCCAGACCCGGTTACGGAGGTAGGACCTGTTACAATTTTATAGGACTACGCAATACACACAGACAGAACAATTAAAGCTAACCGCCCAGACGTTGTTATTAGAAACCGCAAACAAAAAAAAGTTCCAACTTATTGATATTGCAGTCCCTACGGACTGCAATGTATCTTTGAAGATCTTCAAAAAGCTATCAAAATACAAGGACCTTGAAATCGAAATCTCAAAAATGTGGCACATGGGAACATCAACAATCTCTGTTGTAGTTGGAGCCCTCGGATTGGTTGGAAAAGATTTCGAGAAACTAATTGATAGGATTCCTGGAAGTCCATGTCTTAAAGAAATACAAAAAATTGTTCTCACGAGTACATCCCACACCTTAAGAAGGGCTTTATCTATGTAAAATATGTTTGTGTTTGTGTGTGTGTGTGGGTTTTAATTGGTCAGTGGAAATTGTCATGATGTCATTTCTAACCTTAGGTCTCTGGGCGGGATCCGGAACAAAATGTATACACACCAGAAATCAAAGGAAATATAATAATAATAATTATAATAATAATAATAATAGGTTCCGATGAAGGATTTAAACGGTGGACAAAAACACGAATTTCGTGAAAGAAAGGCAAAGAGGAAAAAGAAAAAGAAAAAAACAAGAAGAAAGAGAATGGAAAAATAACGAAAGGAAAAAAATCTGTAAAGGAAAAATGACACAAAGAGATAAAAAAGGAAGCAGAAAAGAGAAGAAAAAGGGGTAAGATGTCAGAAAGAGTGGGTGTGTCATTTTGAAACTTCCTTGATGCCCTCTTGTCTACCTACTTAGAGTCGTCGTTTGATTTTTCAATGGGTTTAAGGACCTCATTGCCCGGCCCTGCCCACTTTTAACGTACAGTCACCCACATCAAGGACCAAAAATTTGTATCATTTTTTTTAACAGACGCGTGTATATATATATATATATATATATATATATATATATATATAGGCAGGACTTGCCTATATAGATAAATATATACGTTCCTTTACTTCGAATATATTGCCCTATATAGATAAATATATATAACCATTTCGCCATTTATTTTTTTGCTTCGAATATATTGCCTTATTTTTTTTTTCTGCTATATCTCGTTTCTTGCTCCCTGCTATATATCTCGAGATTCTTATCAAAATCAAAAAGTGCAATATCCTAAGCATCTCGTCTTCGCTCAATTTCCCACCAAGTAACGCAACTTCTCCGTCCCCTAAGTTCGTCAATTTCCCACCGAAGTTTTGCGATAACCATTCGTCAAATAACTCAGTGCCATTTTAACCACAAAACCAGCCTGAAAGGGAATAAATCCATCAGGCTATCTTTCTCTATCTACTACCTTTTGCAAACAGCACTTTTATATTTATAGGAAATCTAATCCTTGATAGTGATTTACCATAGATGTGGCACAAGACCGAATTAATAGTGAGGATCAAATTCAAAACTCACTAGTATCTGATAACCTTTATTATTATTATATTATATACATTGAAATGAATATCATCAAACGTTGAGATTCGTTAAGAAATGGACGAGGTGCATTTTTTATAGATACAAGTATTTAAGCTGCTATATCTCGTTTTCTTATTCGTTCTCCTGCATATATATCTCGAGATTCTTATCAAAATCCAAGGAAAGGGTCTGCAATATTATTGCCCCTGATCTAGCATCTCGTCTTCGCTCAATTTCCCACCGAAGTAACGCAGCTTCTCCCGTGATTTTAAGCTTTACTAAGAGATTTGGCAACGCTCTGATTTGAAACCAATACGAAGAGGGACGGGCTTCATCACGCTTCATCTTATCTTTCCATGAATCTCGTAGCAAATGACCATATGTTAATGGAATCCGACAATTTATTCAAACTCTTTAAATAACGAGGCAGGCTTGGTCCTCTAGATTTGGTAGGGCAACCAATCTAGGAGAAGGAAACTTTATGGTAGACAAGGTCAATTTACTGTTCAAAACCAGCCTGAAAGGGTTAATAAATCCATCAGGCTATTTATTTTTCTTGTTGTTTTATCTACTCCTGTTGTTACCGAAAATTTCGAACCTGCATCCTATATGACGTACGCTGGCGTGCCTTGACACTGCCCACCAGACAATTTATTATTAAAGACGGGATTTATGGAGCTGATTAAATAACGTTACCGGTTTGAATGAATTATCATAATCGTGACTATAAAAAATTTCATTTGTTAGTAGCTTACAGTAGACTGCAAACAGCACTTTTTTATATTTATAGGAAATGTCGAAAATTATTTCTTTCATCTATGATAGTGTTATTTAAAAATAACTAACCGAAGCTAGATGTGGTTAAACACAAGACCGGACCTCGTCCATTTCTTAAAGTTGTTGAGCACCTAGTTATGAATGTAGGATCAAATTGTAGTTTATAACAAAATTCTTGTCTACCATAAGGTTCATCTGATACACGCCAGCGTATATGGCGGTTCCGGGTATAGGATGCAGGTTCGAATCCTGTCTATATATATATATATATATATATATATATATATATAAACAGAGCATTTGCTTATATATATATATAAACATTGAAAATGTCTTTAATATTTTATATATATTGAAATTTTAAAATATAGACAAGTTTTGTCTATTTATTTTAAGTAAGTTCCGTTCATATTGTCTGATGAGCTTAATAACATTATCATTGAAGGACGAAAGGAAAGCACCATATTGATACATGTTTAAATACAATCTAAGCTTTCAGCTTACATAAGCCATTATCAAAGATGACAATTACTTTTCAATATATCAGCCAATACACGGACAAAACAATAATGATAGTCTGTTTTCGTTGCATGAAACACGAGTTAGTTATTCCTTTTAAAATTTTTTTCATTATTGTTCCGTGTATTGGTTGATATTCCAACTCCCTGAAGAAGGCCTGAGCGTAGAACGGCCGAAACGTTGTAATAAATATGGCGACAAAGATGAGGACAATAGTCCGAATAATGTAAATAACGTACATAATACCTCATCTCAGAAATATAGAGAGATACTGAAGGGCTGAAACGTTGTAATAAATATGGCAACACAGATGAGGACTATAGTCCGAATAATGTAGATAATGTACATAATACTTCATCTCAGAAATATAGACAGATATATATATATATATATATATATATATATATATATATATATATATATATATATATATATATGCGTGTGTGTATGTGTTTTAGTAGGATATAGAATTTGAATAAAAGTCTAGAAGATTCACAGAAGATAAATCTGCAGAAAATAATTATTCCAAAAATCCTGACAAAATTAGGCTCATAATTCTACCTACTAACTCTATAACAAATACCATCCGAATGACTTACCCAAACTTGATGTAAAATTCATCAACAACACTAATAAGAGAAATAGTTACCACCAAGCGAAATAGCAGAGAAAGGACAGAAAAAATTGAAAAAAGTCCACAATGATGTTCATCGGCGAAATCTCAAGGCTTCTAAAAAAAAAAAAAAAAAAAATATATATATATATATCTGAGTCTCGCAGAGATATAATGTATAATAACATTTTGAATACACTTGTGGTTCACGGTAACAAATCTGGCCACCATTTCGACTTAATAAATGTCAGTCTGATCAAGAGGGAAAAAGAAGAAAATTCCCTGCACTGATCTCACAATTCGTGGCGACAAACCGAAGACCAGGCTCATACATAGTATCACCAATCATTGCCAAACTGCCAATGGCGGTATACGAGCTGGCAGAAAGAGTAACGATCATTTGCTCGGAATGTGTTAGTTACTTGATCAGCAGAGTTTGGCAGTTTTGATAAAAAAAAAAAAAATTCAAATCAAAACAAAAAAAAAACAGGTTTTCTTTATTATGTTTTTTTTTTCGAGTGCACACAATGTTCAAAACAATTTTGAAAAACGGAGTACCTATTTCAAACACGTATCCCATAAAAGTAACGTTTAATGTAACATCCTGGGTAATAAAATTAAATTTCGGTATTGATGTGCCGCTAAACAAACAAACAAGCATTTGAAGTAATAAAATATATATATTCATATAGTGAAATAAATTCGTATAGTGTGGTTATTTATTCGTATAGTGAGGTTATATATTCGTATAGTGAAGTTATATATTTGTATAGTGAGGTTAGTCGTTTTTGTACAGTAAACATTCGGTATTCAATGACCGAACAATTCGCATTCCGTCGAAATTCATGAAATGATTTTTTCAAGTGTTGTTTTTAGTTGTTCGGCGAAGTTCTTTTCGATTTGCAATACCAATTTACAGGATCAAATGAAGGATTGTCTTCTTTAAAGTCCCAAAACTTCATTCCTTTGAAATTATTCTTTTAATCATTGATCTGAGAAAACGGTTATATATATCTGATAGTTTAGACATTTCTGAACGAATTGGATGCTATGCGTGACGTCTACATGAGAGTAAAAGTGTATTTTTTAATTACAAATTAAAGAGCTAAGTAATATTTTTTAAACTCCAGCAGTGATAATGGTAATATTAAGAATAATCGTTACCAGAGAGGAAACAATGACTAACAATTACTATTCCTGTAAATTGGAGATTTTTCATAGCGGCGTTCCTAATTAGTCATAGACTCAATGCACATTTCCAACAACAATAGTAATGGTAAAAGTAATGGTAAACATAACCATTTCTCTGCTGACTGATTTCAATGATGAATAATAGTTGGAGTAATGGATGGCGACTCAGATTGTGCAATCGGAGAGCCGAGTTTGAATTCCAGTCAAATCCATTACATTCACTTAAGTACCCTTGGGAAAGGTATGAATCCTCTTCTTCTCTTCCCCAGCTATGGATAAATAGCAGGACAGATCGGGTTCTATAGCCTTGGATGGCAACTGGTCTACCGGAGAAAGAAATTGCAACCTACTGCGGGAAAAAAATCTGCCTCGTCAGTCATGTATCGAAATATACATGATCGCTTAAGCGTGTATCACACATAACACATTATTGACTGATCCATGATTACAATAAACGGCTTCCTCGGTATTTGTCAGTTTATTAATTTTATTTGTTAGTAATTAGTCATAGTTACAAGATATATAGTAAACCATTTTCTCATAATAATAGTAATGGTAAAATTAACCATTTTCAGACAAGAAAACTTCGGCATTCACTGAGCGATTTGTCGGTGAAATTTTTAAAAATCTTTTTCTGAAGCTCACTAGCAGTTATAGCTCTTTCTAGTATTCAAAAAAAAGTCATTATGTAATATCCTGGTTTTCACATGACAGCGAACATTGACCTATTTTGTTCATGTGCGTATATTTACTAAACTATGTCGAACAAAGTGGAATGAAGTAATGGAAAGTGGTCAGTGTCGGATTTATATGTGGGTTAGTATGAGTTGCGTGACTAGAGCCTCCTCCTTCACAAAGGGCTCTGTAGTCTTAGGCCCCTGATAAAACTAAAAAAATAAAGATATAAGAACAGATATTTGTTGAATTTGAATGCTCAGGTTGTGCAAATTTTCGAAAGAAACACATTGGGTAGAAGGGGTGAGGACATTTTGGGAGATTTAATAGGGAACGGCAAATTTTGTTTTACAGTGCAAAAGAAATATAGAAAGAAGTAAGATAAAAGAAAAATCAACAAAATCTAAGAAAGAAAGAATGCTAGAATTTCAGTGTTATACAGGCTCTTCATTCTAGATACATTTCTGTATGATGTAAAGTTCGGATAAAAAATAAACTGGATGGGTTCCGTGATTATTAAAAATTTTAGTTGAATTGCTTTATGTTTTATGCCAAAAAAGCATCATGTAAAATATATGTTTTTTAATAGACACGGTGAGAGATGAACATTCATAATGAACAGACCCCCAAATTCTGTTAGTCACCTAAGACCAAAATCCGGCCCTGAATATGGTAGGAAGGTATTTTTTTCTAAGTGGTAACAGCATAATTGTCATGGAAATCAGAACTGGCAAAACAATTAGTTACTTTTTTAAACCTAACCTCTGATGCCATCGATATAAATATTTCATTTGCGTAACCGAAGAGACGAAATGAATTTTTAATAAGTATAGCACATGAAAAAAAAGGACGGTAAATTTCAGGCTTTTACCTAGGTTCGAACCCCGACTAATAAAATCAACTAGATTGAGCACATTGACATACATGTATGAATAACTCTCACATATAAGACATCTTTTGCACACATAAAAGCCAATTTACACATATATCGACATATCTAGATATGTCCCTATTTAGCTTGACAAAAAAAAATAACCAAACTGAGTTTATAATAATATCGAGTACAAAAATAGGCTGATAGCAAATATATTGTTCCGTCGTGTCTTCAGTCTCTGACTTTAAAACCGCGCCAAAATGACCAGCAAGGAACACCGGGGAGACGTGGATCCTGTCCTTTTCATTAATTAACCAAGAAGTGGATTTTAATTACTATTTTGAATTTCACGCCGCTTTAAGTTCCTTGAGGGTTTCGGATTTAGGGGAAGGAATGGCGGTAATGATTGGCGCTCGGCGAAAATTTTGCGGTAGTAGCATTATCTGTTGTCGGTCAATCATATACAAACGAGATCCCTAATGTCTTTACTTCGAGAGCCCCGCAGGCTTTCCGGCTACAACGGTCTGGGGAAAAATATAGAGGCGCCCTCCGGCTATGCGCTGTTTCAAATTGTGAAATGTTGGATTTCGTCCTTATTATAATAATTTCGGTATTTTGTAGAATGTTTATTTAGTGTGTGTGGGGGTGGGATTGAATGTGCAAATTTTGGAAAGAATGTGACTGGATGGAAGGGGTGAGGGTCGTTTGAGTGAATTTAATAGAAAACGACAAACTTTGTTTTACAGTAAATATGCACGAAAGAAAGCAAGAGATAAGGTAAAAGAAATATTAAGAAAAGTTAAGAAAAAGAAAGAAAGAAAAAGAAAGAAAGAAAGAATGAATGAAAGAACAAATTGACCAACGGCAGAGAAAAATAAAGGAGGAAAAAAAAAACTGACAAACATCAGAGAAAGAAAGTAAGAAAGAAAAAACAAATTGACCAACAGCAGAGAAAGAAGGGCCCAGAGGCCACTCAAGGCAGAGGGTTACGTTAAGGGGTAGTTTATATGGATAGGAGGGGAAGATAATGGTTAACTCTAGACTTGAACAGGTTAAGATTGTAAGTGAAGCATCGTCATGGGAATCTTTTCTACATAGCAGTGATTCGCGGGAAGAAATTGTACGTGTAGAACTTACATCTCGCTGATGGAATAAAGACGGAATGTGAGCGATTTGCTGCAACGTGCACGGCACGGCGGGTCCTAGCCGTGAAGGTTAGACCTGACGGAACCAATGAATGTGGTTCGCCTGAGCACTTTCCATGGAAATAGCGATAGAGTAGTGAGAGACTCGTCACATCCCGCCTGTGAGAAAGAGGTTGGAGGATGGAAAATAATTCTTCTCTTACAAGAACTCGGAGATGCTTTTGAGCTCCTATCAAGACTGGAAAGTGAAGATCGAGCAGTACATACTGGGGTGGTACAAGCTATCTTTAGCGATAGATCGTATAGAAGAGTTCCACTTGAGGGGTCGGGTGTAAGTTTGAGGCCCAATAGTTTCACAAAGCACGGTGCCTCCTCGCAGTGGTTGAGGGGACATCCGTTCATCGTGACTGACGGTAGTTCGGTTTCCGATCAGCGATGATAGAATGTAACTAGTTTGGTTTTAGAAGCATTGAATGTAACCAACTAGTTTTTTGCCCACTGGCAAGTAAGTGCTAGAAAGGAAGCGAGGTCAGTTGCCAATCTGTGATCGTCAAGACTCTTGACTCAGCAGTTTTAGAGGTACGCCCGTATATCGTCGTATCATCGGCATAGATGATTACAATTGTTCTGAGTATATTCTGAGGTAGATCATTTATGTAAATCAAAAAGAGGGTTGGTCCGAGAAGTGACCCTGGGTGACGACTGCGTTGATAGCCAAGAATTAAAACTACCTTTAGGGATCTGTTGGGAAGTATTTTATAATTAAGAAAAACCTTCCATAGCTGGAGAGCTTGTGTAGCAAACCTTTGTGCCACGCCTTGTTGAAGGCCTTTGTGATATCTAATGCTATGGTCCTTGAAGTGGGTGTGTCATCAAGGGCTTCACTAAATCTGTGTGTAATCGTAGTTAGGACGTCAGCAGTGGATCGGGATGATCGAAACCTATACTGATTTTCGACGACATTCTTGCTGATGATACTGAGGAAACTAATGGTGAACATCGCTCGTCCGCATTCTTGAAGACCGAGCAAAGGCTTACCAACCCTCACAGGTTTGGGAAAGATTTCTACATCAAGCAGCGTTTAAATAATTTCGCTAGGATCGGGGATAATTCTGCGTTGAAATGGAATTTTGTCAGTTCTAGTGTCTTTTTTCGAGTCGAGGCTTTTGTATGTTCTAGATATTTATTTTGCTGAAATAGGTCTATTACTGAGGTTGTGCTCAGTGAGATGTGGGAAGTTGCTATGTTCTAGAGACATAATTTGCTGAATGAGTCTATTACCAAGATTATGCTCAGTGAGATGAGATGAAGTTGCCATGTTCTAGAGGCTTATTTTGCTGAAATGAGTCTATTACTGAGATTGTGCTCAGTGAGATGTGGGGAGTTACTATTTTCTAGAGGCTCATTTTTCTGAAATGAGTCTATTACTGAGATTGTGCTAAGTGAGATGTACGAAGATGCGGAGGGGATGGCCATTGTTGTCTAAAGTTGAGTTTGAGGCAAAGAGCTTTCGCTTTATCAGTCGAAGATATAACCTCGGTGTCATTTATAATAACGGACACAGCGGCTTTGCCTCTGTTTATAATTTGGCTGGTGATCTTCGCGTGATCCAATATGCTTCTTTTCAAACTTAGCCTGGACAGCTCGTGCGTAGCTACACTTGACGTAGATTTTGAAGTATTAATTTCTGTGAGCTATAGCTGCAGTACATTCAGGGGTGAACCAGGGCTGATTGATTGGTTTTTGCTAGAAATTTTTCTGGATATAAAACACTCCGTTCCAAACAGGATCCATTTGGAGATTAGAGCGGCAGTTTTGGAGGCAGCATGTTTGAAGAAGAATTGGAGAGGAGCTTCCGTCATATAGGTCCGAAAGCTGTTCCAGTCTGCCTTCGCATAGCGAAAAACCGTTCTATGAAACGCTAGATAAAATGTCATTGGTTTTGAATCTGAACATTGAGTAGGGAATGGTATGACGTGCCTATGGGGTGGGGTTAAAAATTTTGCTAAGCAGGATGTTAAAAACTTTTGTCAGAGCAGGATGTTAGAAAAACTTCTAGGAGGTTCGCTTGCTGTCCTGTCCCATTGAGTTCTTCAATGAGCTGGGTTAGTTCAGAGGCAACGGAGAAGTTTCGGCAGTATCTGCATTCTTCATCGGTTTTGTTCTAACCACTAAGTTTTGTTTTTATCCTCTTTTATTTCCGATGTCTCCGTATATATATATATATATATATATATATATATATATATATATATATATATATATGTGTGTGTGTGTATTTATATATGTATATATATATATATATATATATTTATATATATATATTCAAACAGTTTATTTAGACGTTTATGTTTTTATTTTAGTTTCCTCTCGAGTTCACGAATTAATTTCTTGCTGGCCGTAGAAAATTGATTAAGAAAAATAACAAAATTTTCTTTCAAATAATTTTTATTTTCTCAATTACTTTCAATCTCATCTGAAACCATTTTAGGGATTAAATTTTCTTTGGATGTGTATACATGTTTCCTAAAATTCTAAATATTTTTTCACTGTTCATTTTACTGGGTTTTGCAGTCAAATTCAAATTCAAGAGTTTTTTCCTATGCAAGGGATGCAACTTTTTAATTTATTTATTTATTTATTATCATTATTATTTATTGATTTACATATATATATATATATATATATATAAAACTTTTCTGCTAGAAACATTTATAAAAACTTTGTTGCTATACTCATAGTTGTCTTTAATTATTTTTGGCTTTAATTGTCTTATATAAAAGGCTTCTAGGATTTTAAGTTTTTGCTTATTATTTAATACAATTACATAGATAATCTCTGCAGATTGAGCTGGTTTCTGTAATAAGGTTTGGTTAGCCACCCTGGCAGACGTGTGTGCTCGAGGGGATATATATATATATATATTATTTGTATTAATTCTCTCCTCTCTCTCTCTCAGTCTCTCTCTCTCTCTCTATATATATATATATATATATATATATATATATATATATATAAATTTTTGGAAGTACTATCTGATGATCCGGCGTCCTTTAAAAGGACTCTGGTGAAATAAATTATTATAATGGTACCTTAAAGTGGTCTGTTTTTTCTTTTAAATATTAGCTCTGGATTTATTGAGCTCTCAGGATTTCATCCTCCTTGGGATTACCCATACAGATTACCAAGTTCTTCATAACTTATATATATATATATATATATATATATATATATATATATATATTAATTAATTCTCTCTATATATATACAATATATAGAAAATATCACAACCTCATCGACCACCAGATTAGACTGTTTCTATCTAAAGTAATTAATAGAAATACTGAATATAAAGTCACAGAAACAGTGAGTGAGATTGTATTCAATTTAATCTAGTACATGGACATAGTTGTTGAAGAACCATTAAGAATAGAAGTCATGATTATATTTACTAAGCTTGGTTTACAACCGAATCGAGAAGAACGTATTGAGTCAATCCTTTTTTTTTCTTTTATTATATTTTTTACCTGATGCCGAATTAAGAACAGAACTACTTCAATTTTGTTGATGTTTGTTTCATGTTTATCTCTTGAAAAGGAGGGGATGTATTCTCCAATAAGTTAATTAATATCTTGAATTCCAGTCAATAGCTTCCCTCCGATGGCCACTTGAATCAGCCTTTCCCTTCCACCATCCGACAGACACGCCGACCCTTGGAGTGATCAAGGTACTTCACTGAACGTCTCATAAGTCCTTGACTCTCTTCCCTTCATCTTGCTCATATTCGTTTTCCATTTAGCATCTTTCGAGGCTGCTTTTATCAAACAGTTCCTATTCATATGTAAAGCAGGTCCTCGTTTAGCGTTGTTGAGATGTTCTTGGGAAGTGTAACACACTCAAGTGAGACGACGTAAAATGTAACTAATTTGACCACTGACTCAGTGATATTAAAAGACTTAAGTTCTTCCGATGTTGTGATCATCACAGGAACATCAAAATAAAGACATAAACAACAATTTTTCTCCCCAGAATATATCACGCATATCTATAAGCCTAAAATTTGTACATACTTAGAATACTTCTGCCACATATGATCCACTGCCTATGCTATTTAGAAGAAGAATCAGCCATATTTTCGGTCCTGATCTGACGACTCGGCTTCAATCACTTTTCCATCGCTGTAAGGTTGTCTTCCTGTGTTTTTTCTATAAATATTTTCATGGTAATTTTTCGGGTGAGCTCTTCACTATGGTACCTAGACTTTATGAATTTAAGCACAGTACTAGACTGGTGTCGAGATCTCATCAAATTAAAGTTGAGCTGGCTGGCTAAATGTAACCGTAAATTCTATGCTAACAGTTTCTTTTCTTGTAATTCTCGTTTGTAGAACTCCTGGTTTCATGCTTTCCAGCCATCTTTAATCTTCAAAAATTGAGATCCAATCGCTATCTACCGTCTTCCTGATTACTCTTTTTGTCCCGCTCATTAGTATTGTTTCTGTTTCTAATTCTTCCACAGCCTGTATGTAACCCCCTGTGTCTTAGCGACTTTACTGCCTTTCATGTGGTGAAATTGCTAAAAAAATCTAATATTAAACATTGAAATATATGTACCCTCTATATCAAGGTTTCCCAATCTGTGTGATATCGCTTACCGCTGGGTGAGTTCAATTGTTGGTCGGGTGATAGAAAATAGTTGGCAATGAGAAATTTTGGTGGGCGATAAAGGATTTTGAGTATTTAAAATGTATTTCGACAAAAGTCAAAAAAGAAATATTCAAAGGATAAAAGAACCTTCATAAAAACAGAAGGCTTGTTGGTAATAACTGGGTGGTAGTCCGAGATGAGATATAAATATCCCCGTAAACAACGACTATTTTGGTATTTTAATTGACATTCAAATAGTCCTTCAGACGAAATAACGTTTTCTTTTTCGGATATAAATCAAAGAAAGGAAGACCACGAACAGCAAAAAATATTCACTAAAATTTTATTAATTGCTAGTAGTGTTTATTCTTTTTAATTTTATAATTAGAAACAAAAATCGTTTAAGTTTTTATCAACGATTCCAATTCTAACCATAAAATTAACCTTGACAATAAATAAAATTTTAAATATTTTTAACAGTCAAGTTTGATTTCGTGTGTCACTTAATACGGTCATAGTAATGTTGAAGGGACATGGAAAAGCTGTAGTTCTAGAGAGAGATAATGAAATTAGGCATGGTTGATCATATCTGGCGAGATAAGGGTGGTCACCAACTTCTGTGATATAAGGTCAACATAAAGGGTGCACTGGAAGCTAAGACGACTGAAAGAATCAGAGTAGGCACTGACAACTTTGTCAGTAGACCTAGCATAAAAATAGATCCGACCCGGCAGTATTTGATTAAAAAAGAAGCGACATTCACGACCTATGTAAGGACATTCATAAATTTCACTATGTACAGATTATTAGATTTTACACCAAGAAATACACAATACATTTATTAACGCGTTGGTTAAAGCATATCTGGTTCCTTGGTATTAATTAAATCTCTGAGTCGAGTAGCAGGACCTTGCCCCGGAGTTGCGAAAGCTGAGATAAGATTAATGGCGTACCCATAATAGCAGGATCACGCGTATACTTGGCTAAAATTCTAGAATCGATATTGGATATGTTGAAAATTTATAAGTTCAACCAATTAATACTGAAAAGGGCAAATATTTTGCTCGTGGAATGAACCTATATTATCCACATTTGATAACAGCTTTCGAAACTTAATAGCTGACGATGGGGATATACCAAAACGTTATTGGACAATTAACTATTGTCAAGAAGAATACAAGTGGCAGCGGCTCAGCGAAAAGGTGGCAAAAACTGCCGATATATTGCATCGAGAAGCATTTGGAAATATACTAGATATAAAAATAAGGTTCCCCGTGGAGCGCAATTTAAGCAAACGACTCTCTGTTGAGACTACGGAGTAGCTGATGTTTGATTTGTTTGCTTATTGGCACATCAATTCCTTATGGGACATATAATGCCGAAATTTAATTTTTTGTGTAGCAATAAAATATGTTATTCTGTTTTCACAATTGAATACATGATACTTGATTCTTTGTGCATATGTTTGTGTGGTCCTGATTACTGCAGGCGCTGATATGTGTGTTTTATGTTGTAGTTTAACTGAAGTTATATTTTGGAATAAAGTTTGATTTCTTTAAGAAATTGTAGGATATTATATGGATTAATGCCATCAAATAGTTCTTACATGTTGGTTGTTTGGTTCATTTTGTTTAGTGGCATTTAATACCGAAATTTAAATATTTTGAAAACAATTTTATGGTTTCAACTACGGATAAAATATATTGTTAGCTATTTTACTATAAAACGTATTGTTAGTCATTTTAATATAAAACGTATTGTTAGTCATTTTACTACAAAATGTACTGTTGGACATTTTACTATAAAACGTATTGTTGGTTATTTTACTATAAAAAGTATTGTTTGGTATTTTGCTATAAAACTTATTATGGGTCATTTGAATGTAAAACGTATTGTTTAACATTTTGCTAAAAATCTTATTGTTGGACATTTTACTATAAAATGTATTGTTGGTCATTTTGTTATAAAACGCATTTTCGGACATTTTGCTATAAAATGTATTGTTTGTTATTTTGCTATAAAATGTATTGCTGGTATTTCTTTAAAATTATATAACTGGTTATTTTGCTTTAAAAATGTATTGCTAGTAATTCTACTGCAAAAATGTATTTTTATGCTTTCATAGTTTTCTGTTTTTGTTTGGAGGTTCACAATTTGACGTTATCTGGGAGTCTAACAGGTGCTAACACCCAGGGCCAGGGTGGATCTGGGAACAATAACAATTAAGAGGTGGTTCCGCTATTTTCAAAACCTCCAAAATCTCCCAATCAGAGGTGCCTTTCTGCTAGATGTAGTTTATCGTCATACACAGGATTCGTTGCTGAGATTTGTGTGTATATTATGAAGAATGTTGGCAAATTGAAGAGACTTGCTGTCACTTTGTCTTCGTCGGTAGCAACCAGACATCTGGTACGAAGATGCAAAAAGATGAAATAATAATAATAATAATAATAATAATAATAATAATAAGAAGAAGAAGAAGAAGAATTATAATAATTAGAATAATAATAATAATAATAATAATAATAATAATAATAATAATAATGTAATGTTGAAAAAAACTGAGAACTTGAAACTTGATGGGAAGAGGCGGACCGGAAGAAGGTTTCGCGTACAACGACAGCGGAAAAAAAATTCCAGGACGGAAAGAGGGTTAGTCGAAAAAAAGTATGAAAAACTAAAATGAAAGATCAAAGAATAACGAGGGAAAAATATGTGAGGGCACTGGATGGAGAATTCGTGTGAAAATACGGAGACAAAAGGCGAAGAAAGTTTTCTGAAATCATAAAAGGCAAAAAAAAAAAAAAAAAAAAAAAAAAAAAAAAAACGAAAAGAGAAATTGAAAAAAAAAAATTATAAAAATGATGGCGGAAAGGAATGTTAGAAAAGAAATGTGGAAAGTATGTTGGAAGTCATAATGAATAAATTGGCGGCTACCGTAGCGCAATGATTTTTAATCTTGTTTCGTCGACCATTCTTTTTCTTCTTCTTTAATTTTAATTTAATTTTCTTGGAATCCTTGAAGCAATAAAAATATAATATATTATTCTACTTTCACAATTGAATACATGGTAGATGATACTCAGATTTTGTGCATATCTCGCATCTCCGGTCTTTGAAAGTCCCACCCACTTACTTGCTTCCCTGATAACTATAATCCTCAAATATTCAAAGGTAATGTCAATCGACATCTTCTGATGCCTTGATCTTCTTCCCTGTCCCTCACTTTATCCCTCTCTTCAAAAACGCCTCTTTATTCTTGTTCTCTACTCTCTGTAACCCCCTTGCGTGCTAGTGGCACTCCTAACTTGCTTGGGGTGAAATGCTTAAAATATATATATATATATATCCATTTTTGTGTGGACATTATTACTAGAGGCGGGGATATGTGTGTTTTATGTTGTTGTTTTATTGAAGTTATATTTTGGAATAAAGTTTGATTTAAGAAATTGTCGTATATTATATGGATTAATGTCATGAGAGAGTTCAAAGAGTTCTTTCATGTTGCAGATTTTACTAGAAATTCGTATTGTCCGTAATTTTACTATAGACATCATTGGTATTTTTTATTTATAAACGCGTACTGCTGAGATTTTTTAATACAAAAATGGTGTTTTTATACTTTTATAGTGTTTTGTTTTTATTTAGGGATTCACTATTTGCCCTTAGCTGGGACCCTAACAGGTGCTACCACCCCGGGTGAGCGTGGACGTGGAAACAACAGGATTTAAGAGGAGGTTCCACGCTCCTCAAAACCACCAATCTTCCGATCAGAAGTCTTGTTTGCCGGATGTAGATACTACTACTACTACTACTACTATTACTACTAATGATAATGATGATGACGATTACTACAGCTACAAAAATAATAATGATAGTGATAATGATGATGATGATGACAACGACGAATATTACTATTACTACTACTAATAAATATAATAATGAGGAGGATGATGATGACAACGGCGATTGCTACTACTAATGATGATAATGATGATGATAACGATGATTGCTACTCTACTAATGATGATGATGGTGATGAAAACCACCATAATTACTACTATTGCTAACGCTGGTGATAATGACGATAATGATGATAGTGGCAACGACGGTTACTACTACTAATAATAATCCTAATGATGATGATGATGATGATGCTGATGATAAAACAACGGAAGTGAAAACAAAGAATAATGAAAAACAAAAACAAACAAAAAAAGGATTGAATTTTGATATTATCCTTTTGTTACTTACAACTCTATTGCAATCTACTTCCATCCGACCCCCAACCTCAGCCCAGCCCGGTTTGCCGAAGAAGAAAGGGAAAACATGAAGTCTTTCCTTGATGCTATTTAGAATTTATTTTTGCAGTCCCACTGTTTTGTGTAAGAGACTCGAGGCCCAGTTAGTTTATATTCACGTCTTTGAAGCTGTTTCACGACCCTTGGGCAAGTATTTCCTCTTCAACTCCTCCTCCTCTTCCTCCTCCTCCTCCACGCTTTCCCACACTTCATTCATTTCCGTAATCTAATATGCATGTTCAAACATTTCAAATGCGTGAGACAGACAAAAGAAACCTTTATTTATCTACCGTCTTACCCATTTTATATATATATATATATATATATATATATATATATATATATATATATATATATATATATATATATATATATATTATATTATATTTACGAGAGAAAAATTTTTCTCGTATATAAATACAAAAAGCATTGGATGCATTAGAATATATATTTGCGGGTCCTTTTTAAAGAGAGAGAGAGAGTGAGAAAGGAGGAGATAGTAATAAGCATTCATATTTCCATATATATATATATATATATATATATATATATATATATATATATATAATATTACAGAATATGTATAAGTATTGAAATATGTATTGGGATTTTAATGGATAAATATTCATTGGGTCATTTTAATATATAAATATATATATATATATATATATATATATATATATATATTAAAATATGATATAATCAAATGAATAAATATTGGTAAATGTTCGAGCAAGCGATTGCATACATATATACATACGTAAATACATATATATATATTACATCAGTCAACACCCATCCATGTCATTTTTCCACGTTCTCTCTCTCTCTTTCTCTTTCTCTTTCTATCTCTGTCCCTGTCAGTTTCTCTCTCACATAAACACAGCACACAAACAATTTGAAGCAGAATCGGAAAGCATAAAATATGCGAATGTGCAAAAAGACATGACAGTGAAAGTCATTTTGAAAGCAAATAATTGAGATGCAAAGTAAGATCGTTTTTCATTTCTAAGATCAAAAGACGTCGATCTTCACAAAATCTTAACGGTTTTCATTCCCACCATCAAACAATAACATTGAAGAACTCGTCATGGCCAACTCCATCTTGACAAACCCTTGAATTTTTTTTTTTTTGAAAACCCATGATTAATTACATAAACAAGCGACAAACACATACATTAGGAAATAAAACAAAAAATGATCGGCAGCATAGAAGACTTTTCATAATCAAATATTAAAACATCCTTCGCGCCAAATTAACAAGAGATATAACAGCTATTTGCCGCGGAGTCGTCGTTGAGTGAAGATTGCTCAGTGGTAGAATCTCTGACTGACACAAAATCGGTTGGGTTTCGATCCGGGCTTGAGTCATTCGGTTGTCTAGTCACACTGAGGAGCTGTGATACAGCGAAACAGTACTGTTTGCGAATGACATAATTTAGCTCTTGAATATATATTTCCAATTGAGCACTGTTGAATGACAAGCTAATCCTACAAACAACAGCCACCTGCGTAAATGCGAAGGTCATCAGTAAAATGAATGGAGCACTATGGCTGCTTGGCGTTTGTTTATGTTTGTAAAAACAATATGCTAGATTTGGCTGACTCATTCTGTGGTGTAAAGAATGACAGACAAATCGGTTGGGTTTCGATCCGGGCTTGAGGCATTCGATTGTCTAGTCGCACTGAGGAGCTACGAAACAGTACTGTCTGCGAATGATATATATATTATTGGCGGGGTTGGGTATCTCGATATCACTGCTTCTGGTGGAAAATAAGCGACTGTTTAAGCCACCAGATTATGTCATTACAAAAATATAACAACAACAACAATAATAGAGCACGCCAAATGTTACAAAAAGGGTTATTCTTCTTCTCTCTGTATTTTTACCATCACACCCACTCACCGTTCCGCCACCCGTTCACATAAGCTCGTCAGGTAGGGTACCCTCTGCCTTTCTCTGTCCCTTTTTTCTTTTCATATGTCCTGAGAGTGTCAAATTTTCCAAGCCCTCCTTCCTTATTATCTGTCCCAGAGATTTCATCTGTTTCTTTCTGATTCTAAGTATAAATACTAATTGCTTCTTTTAAAAGCGTTTCTCTTTCTCACTTCGGCACTTTGCATACCCGCACACTATTAGATTACACAGAAGTTATCCTTTGTTTTTACGACATTTTTATAAAATAATATATGAAATATCAAAACATAGATCTAATATCTATCTCTCTCTCTCTCTCTCTCTCTATATATATATATATATATATATATATATATATATATAAAGTTGTTGCCTCTGTCTGTCTGTTTGTTTTATTATCGAACTCCTATTTTTGAGATAAACCTCCATAACGATATATATTCTGGTTGAATAAGTTATTTCATTTTGACCAAAGGGGATCCCAGGGGGGACACAACCCCTAACTGATAACTGTTTTCCCTTTTGATATAAAATGAATTTAAATTTGATCAATGCAATAACGCCTAGGATACTTGGGTAAATATAATTGGTTTTTTTGCTCAAAGGGGGGGGGGTCTCGGGGACAATGAATTTTTTTTCCATTTGATTTAAATTAGTTAAATTTGAACAAGGGAAGGACGCCCATTTATATTTATATATAGGTTTTTTTTCTAAAATCAGTTACTATTTTTAAAATAACCTACATACGTGCATGATAACTGCAAACTTAATGTCGTCTATGACCCTCAGAGGACATGATTGTAAGGCACAGTTGTAAGGGTCAGTTATATCACCCAGGTGTAAGGCTCAGTTGTAAAGCTCAGTTGTAAGTCTCAGCTTCAAGGCTCCGTTATTAGGCTCAGTTGTAAGGCTCGGTTGTAAGGTTCAGTTGGAAAGCTCCGTTGTAAAGCTCAGCTGAAAGGCTCTGTTGTAAGACTCAGTTGTAAGGTTCAGTTGTAAGGCCCAGTTGTAAGACTCAGTTGTAAAGCTCAGTTGTAAGGCTTAGTTGCAAGGATCAGCTGTAAGTCTCAGTTGTAAGATTTAGTTGTAAGGTTCTGCTGTAAAGCTCAGTTGTAAGGTTCAGTTTATAAGGCTCATTTACAAAGCTCAGTTGTAATGCTCAGTTGTGTCTTTAACAGTTATGGCTCTTTAAATCGGACAATCTTTTAAAAGCTCTCACAAAATAATTGACAGGCATGAGACAGAAATATTCATTAGGTTTGTTTTTGTGAACGATTTGGTGTCTTTTCAGCCCACCAGCTGAAAACTTATGATGACTTCGCATATGATCTCAATATTCCTGCTTTACTTATGTAAAACCTAAAACAAACATCACAGGTGAGCTCATACCTGTCACCTAGATGATGTTGACTGGTTCTTAATTTGGGATACATATTGTTTTTGCTCAGACATACCTGCAGCATATATATGTGTGTATTGTGTATTTAAGCTGCAATCCTTCATTTATACATGTTTTATTAAAGACGACACACAAGAAAAAGACGACTGCAAGAAAAATTAAATAAAAAGCTTAACCGCAGTACCTTGTATGTCGTCTTTGATGAAACATGTATAAAGGAATGATTGCTGCCCAAATACATAATTATCAAATTACATGACCGGTAGCCAACAAGAAAAGTATCACTACTACATCCAGAAAAAAAAACTCGTCTTAGCAAAGACATGCTCTGTGCCCAGAAAAGAAAACACTTGTTCGAACACAAGAAAAATTAAATAAAAAGCTTAATCGCAGTACCTTGGAAGCCGTCTTTAATGGAACGTGCATATATATATATATATATATATATATATATATATATATATATATATATGTGTGTGTGTGTGTGTGTGTGTGTTCATATGATACTCTCTAAATTTAAATGAGGAGTAAATTACGACATTTATGAATAAAGTTCGTTTTTATGATCTCATAAACGCGAGGTATTTCTCGCTGCTGAAATATAATCAGCCATCGTTATTCAATACTAGAGCTTTACTCGGAGATAAAGTTTATTTGATAGGTCAAGCAGAACTATAAAGAAACATCATCTCGGACTTAGATTACTGAAAATAGAGCTGACATCAGAGGAAAAATCATCCACGCTTCTTAGTAATCCGAAGAGCATGCAAATCCGTTCCACTAGCTGAATATCTCTGCCCCGTTCTCCTCTCCACACACAGCCACTCTCTCTCGCTCCCTTTCTAGATATATATAAATAAATACATATATGCCTATATGTATTTATGTATGTATTCTATTAACTATGTACGTTTTCTCACCGATACAGGCGCCTGAACTGCAAAGCAAATAAATGAATGAATGAATGAATAAGTAGAAATCTGAATGCTGATTCTCAAGAGATGTACATCCTTCTAATTAAATATTGACGCAACGTCATCTTGATCCTATGCTAGGCAGATTAAATGTCTAATATAGGTTAATATCTATCTATCTATCTATCTATCTATCTATCTATCTATCTATCTATCTATCTATCTCAATGTGTTCATCTATCTATCTATCTCTCTATCTATCTATCTATCTATCTATCTATCTCAATGTGTTCATATCTATCTATCTATCTATCTATCTATCTATCTATCTATCTATCTATCTATCTATCTATCTATCTATCTATTAGTTAGATTGATTGATTGATATCTATCCCACTCTGATATCTATTTATATCTGTTTGTTAGTATCTCTATCTTTCCATTTTCTTCCACTTCAGTGGCATTATCGCTTTGGAGTAAAATGATTAAAATAAAAAAAACCCATATTCGTATATTTTCGTATTTGAAACGTAAACAAACAATTTCTCATGAATTAATGTATTTATTTTAATCCGTACACATACATGAACACACATGACTATATATATATATATATATATATATATATATATATATATATATATATATATATATATATATATATATAATAAAAAAGAAAGAAAAGTAAGATATACAATCTGGTGTTCTTATTGATATTTTATTTTTTACAAAACAGTGCTCAATGTAAATTTACAGAGCATAAATATTATAAATTAACTGATTTAAAATATGGTTTCT